GATATAAATATCAAAGTATGACTTGACTTTGCAAAGCGTTATAAGTACACGTAGCGTTGATGTATAGATAACCAACAACAAATTATAGAGAACTAAAATTTGTTGTGGGCACAAAATGCTTATGTTGCAAATAAAATTAGATAAGCATTATTCTGAACTTCTTTTTTTAAAAAGTTTTTTTTCTCACTGCGACTTTCTTGTTTCCTTCCGATCTCTCTTCCTCACCGTCGGTCAGCTTCACGCTGGCTGATGAGAATCATCCCAATGACAAGAAAGAAAAAAAAGGGGTCCTCTCGACCTCCTTTATTCCCCATCTTCGAAGTTTCGTCGAGTCGCAGCTGCTTCTTCGACGAGTTTCGTGAATAGTAAAAAGTCAAAATTTTCCGGTGGGCCTAACGCCGGTAGCTCCTCCTCCATAGCCGAGATAGGTTCAACAGCTTCATCTCATATCGTTCCTCCACTGGTTGGTGTTGAAGTTGAGCCAGATCTGAAAGTTGCAACCTCCTCGATTTCAGAGCCACAAGCAAATCTGAGTTCTTCTACTACTGGAATCCAGGTTCCTATTGCAGAATCATCATCTCCTCCTTCACCGGTGGAGAATAATTCTCCCTCTTCTTTGGTCCACCCGACAGAAGAAGCAACGACAACAACATCGACGACCCTATTACAAGGTAGTGTCGCTGCTTAGGTGGTATCACCAAAAAATGGTCTACTCGTCTCTCGGAGTCGGCTCAGTTAGAGGAAATTGGAACACCTACAGAACATGTTTCAGGGGTCCCATTTGTCCTCATCCCTGATGACAACATTGAAGCTGCAAAAGAAGAGTTTAAGGAGTTCATCTTTGCCCGTGTCCATGGTGATTCTCCACCAATGGGAAGGATAATTGGTGTTATCAACGCTATATGGGCGCGCTCGGGTCCAAGAATCTACATTCATAACATTGGTGTAGGAACATTTCTGCTTCGAGTCGTGAATCAAAGAACAAGAGAGTATCTATTAAGCAGAAACGTGTGGAACATAGCTGGATTCCCAATGTTTGTTGCTCCTTGGTCTCCGGAATTCTCTTCGGATCAGCTCCCTCTTTCGTCTGCACTAGTGCCTGTGGAGTTTCGAAAAGTGCCTTATTTGCTCTTCAATAAACAGAGCTTAAGCAGAATAGCAACGACGATTGGGAAACCGGTCTCGCTAGCTCCGGAAACAGAAAGAAAAGAAAATTTTGAAGTGGCAAAAATATATGTGCGCGTGGATTTAACCAAGAAGCTGCCATCAAAGGTTTATATCAGGTTTCACAAATGGAAGAGAAATGGAAATTGAGGTCTCTTACCCTTGGCTCCCTTTGAAGTGTGATCGGTGTGGAAAGTATGGTCATGACCGGTTCTCATGTGCTGTTGGAGAGTGGCAAAAGACTCAAGATCGCGACTCAAAAAAGCGTTCATCTGCTTCCCCAAGCAGGTCACGAGGTGCTGGTGGTGGTACTCGTAAGAGTCGAAGCCGTAAGCGAAGGTCAAGATCAAGGAAAGTAAGTTCCTCATCTACATCAAGCAAAAATGAAGTTAGAAATAATACACCGCGAGGAGTAGCGATAGATAATGTTGCATTGGAGGTAGTGGAAACAGTTACGATTGGTGAACCTATTAAGACAGATGAGGTTATCATGACATTGCCTGTTGAAGCAAAAATGCAACAGGATACAGTGAAAGTGAGGTCTGCGGTACCTTCTATGAGTGCTCAGTCTACAGGAGATGGAAGGTTGGTAATCAAAAATCAATTTGAGTTGTTGTCAAAAGATACGACGACTGACTCTGCATAAGCAGAAGCTCTTTTCTTCTTGGTGACTCGCCAGAAGAGTGGCCGTAAGGCCACACTAAACCAGTAATAAGTTATATAATGTTTTTTGGGTGAAATGTTAGAGGACTGAACAGTGATCGACGCCACACTATGGTCAAAAACTGGATTAATATCCATAGACCTCTTTTTGGAGCGTTTTTAGAGACGCATATAAATGGAATAAACTCTTGAAGGATTATATATGCTATTCCAGCAAATTGGAAATTTTTTGGGAATTTTGAACATCACCATTTGGCACGCCTTGTGGTTGTTTGGGATCCAAGCGTGTCTCTTATCGTTTACCAGGTTTCGGCTCAAGCTGTTACTTATGGTGTTTTCATCCCTTCGGTAATGCTATCTATTAGAGTTACTTTTATCTACCGCTTCAACTCCTTGGAAGAAAGACAGTCTCTTTGGGATGAGTTAAGTGTTTTGAATGCCACTACTCCGGTTTCTAGGAATCTGTGGGCTGTTGTTGGGGATTTTAACCAGATTTTGAGGGCTTCTCAATACTCTAATAGTTTAGACATGGCTATTGACGATTCTGGAACTGATGAGATTAACTTAGCTCTGCAGGATGTAGAATTGTTCGAAGCGCAAGCTAAGGGTCTTCTTTTTACATGGTGGAATAACTAGGATGACAGGCCAGTTTCAAAGAAAATAGACCATGCGTTTATAACATTGGTCAGCTGCGTTTCCGGAGTCGTACGCGGAATTCTTGGAGCCTCAACAATCAGATCATGCTCCTTGTCTATTTCGTGTACCGTCTCACACTCGTAGGCCAAAAAACCCTTTCAAATTTTATAATCATCTAGTTGATTTACCGCAGTTTCAGGATTCCGTCAAAGAAGCTTGGAATTGTGACTTGATTTTCGGGTCTTCTCAGTTTAAGTTGATCAGGTCACTTAAGTTATTGAAGCATGTACTAAGGAGATTAAACAAAAGCAATTTTAGTGGTATCTCGGCTAGGGTTAAGGATCAAGCTAATAAGATTTCAGAGCTGCAGCGGTTGCTCCTCATAAATCCAACTCGGGCTATCGCGCGGGAGGAACACCACGCACGTAGAATGTGGCATACTCTTATAAAAGCGGAGGAGAAATTTTATCATCAAAGGTCAAGTGTCACGTGGCTTGATCTTGGGGATCGAAATACTTCGTTTTTTCATAAGTTTGTGGCTCAGAGATTAGCCAGTAATCACATCCACTTCTTAGTGGACTCGGATGACAGGATATTGACAACGGTGGATGAGATTAAGGGCCATTCTACATAATATTTCCAGGGAATTATTGGGAGCACTTCTATGCTTGTCTCTTTTGCATCAATCTCTCACCTTCAAAATCTTCTCCCCTTTCGTTGTAGTGAAGAGCAGAGACTGAAAATTCAGAAAGAGGTGACTAATGAAGAAATTAAGGTCACCCTTTTTGCTATGCCTCTCAATAAGAGC